GTGCGTACAAAGAGTGAGGCCTTTTGACTTGTGAGGGGTTGGCGCCTTAAGAATTTGGAAATAGTGCTTGCTTTCCCATGAGGACAGGGTAAGGGGGGAAATACCCATAAGGCTGATGACCTCACACTCTTCCACATCTCCTCCCAGGCTTTCTCCCGGCTCATCTTGATTCTTCGTGCTTTACACGTGAACAATGATAGGGCCAAGGTGATCCTGAAGCCTGACAAAACCACCATCACAGAACCCCACCACATCTGGCCCACACTGACTGACGAGGAATGGATCAAGGTGGAGGTGCAGCTCAAGGACCTGATCTTGGCCGACTACGGCAAGAAAAACAAGTGAGCAGGGAGGGTCAGGTGCCACAGTGCAGACAGGGCAAGGTGCGCCGCTCGGGGTAGAGGTTCTGGGGTTTTGAGCTTTAAACCATAGAAGTTTCTCAGATTTTTTAGCTGTGTTTGGTAATGCCTATAACCCCAGCATTTGGTAGGTAGAGGCAAGGGGATCAGGAATTCAATGTTATTTTTAAGTACATGAGTTAGAGGTGGGCCACATGAGGTCATGTCTCAAAAGAAAAATAGCATCTCAGAGGTACTTAGGAAAAAATGAAGTCAATATCCAGTCTCACTATTGACCACTATTCTCAGTGAAGGTACTGATGCCATTTTGAACAGATGCATTCTCTTGCTCTTGCTCTCTTAATTTCTCTTGTGTTTGAGACAGGGTTTCATTATGTATCCCAGGCTGGCCTTGAACTCCCAACACTACTCTTGCTTTAACCTCCCAAGTGCTGGATTATCAGTGTGTATCCCTACACCCAATTTGGGGTTTCCATTTGTGAGAGTTATCCTGTATGGGGGCAATTTTTGTTGAAGAAAAGTAAGTTACAGATGCTGAGTAGCTAAAAGTACATGTGTGTATTGTGTCGTGCTGCTTGGGATGTGGTAATTCTTCACAGTGTCACTATATCTCCATTTCATCAAAGGATAGTTAGGGGATAAAGATGCTTGCTACCAAGACTTAGGGCCTTACTTCAATTCTTAGAACCCACAGGTGGAGGAGAAACCTCCCATAAGTTGCCCTTAAAAATAGAAACGTTACTTGAGGATTATCTTGGCAAAGTATGCTCTGCCTGCCTGGTCCTCCTTTGCCATCAAGGCAAAAGTGACTGGGGAGGGATCCTGTTTAACTTACCGTGTCCCCACAGTGTGAATGTGGCGTCACTGACCCAGTCAGAAATTCGAGACATCATCCTAGGAATGGAGATCTCGGCACCGTCACAGCAGCGGCAGCAGATAGCTGAGATTGAGAAGCAGACCAAGGAACAGTCCCAGCTCACTGCCACACAGACTCGGACTGTCAACAAGCATGGTGATGAGATTATCACCTCCACCACTAGCAACTACGAGACCCAGACCTTCTCATCCAAGACTGAATGGAGAGTCAGGTAGTGTGGGGGGCAAGAAGGTAGGGGTGGCCAGGCCATCCATGTTGCCGGATGTGCTTGGGCTGAGATGCTGACATTCCTGTCTGTTATGTAGGGCCATCTCTGCTGCCAACCTGCATCTGCGGACCAATCACATTTACGTTTCATCTGATGACATCAAGGAAACTGGTTACACTTACATTCTTCCCAAGAATGTGCTCAAGAAGTTCATCTGCATATCCGATCTGCGTGCCCAAGTGAGTAAGCGCACAGCTGAGCCATGTGTGAGCCCACTTAGTCTGTGTGTAATTTCACTTGATAGTCCCAGGAACTCTGAGGTGCTGGTTTCAAGATTCATGGATGAATGAATAACTTGAAAAAGGCAGCACAAACATTAAACTCAGCTGGGCCTAGTGGTACATGCCTTAATCTCAGCACCTGGACAGCTGAGGCAGAGGACTGCTGTAAGTTTAAAGGCCAGCTTTCACTACAAACTGAGACAGCTGTATCTTAGTTTGGTGTGGTGGCACAGGCCTTTAACCCAAGCTCCTGAGAAGTAGAGGATGATCAGGAGTTCAAAGCCAGTTTCTGTGGTCCAGCCAGTACCAAATGAAACTTTCTCAAAGAAATAACTGAAAACCCGTTATAAACCTGCATGAAAATGTCAGGCTGGTGAAACGACTGTAGGCGAAGGTGCTTGCGGCCAAGTCTGCTGGCCACACTTTGAGCTCCAGAATCTATAGGGTAGGAGGAGAGAACTGACTCCTGTAAAATGTCCTGTGACCTCCATATGTCCAGTGTGACACGCATGCACACTCATGCACACACACACTAAATAGGTATATGTTTAAAAGTTTTAAAACTAAAAACCCAGAAACCCTTGGACAGCAGATGACTCAGAGGATAAACGTGTGCTGCACAAAGCCGAAAACCTGAGTCAAGTTCCCAAATCCCACTGTGGGAGGAGGGAACCAGCTCCTCAGTTATCCCCTGACTCTCACATGCACACCATGGCATGCGTTCATCTACAGGTACACACGTAATAATAATAAAGTAAAAAAAAAAAAAGAAAGAAAATCTTTTGTAACACAGTGCCGTGTGTGTTCGAGGCCATAGTGAGTTCTAAGACAGCCAGAGCTACCTGGTGAGACCCTGTCTCAAAAAAAAAAAAAAAAAAAAGAGAGAGAGAGAAATTTAAAGGGGAAAGAAAAAGACTGTAGAGAAAGCTCAGTCGCAGAAAACTTCCCTGGCATGCTCAAGGCCCTGGATTCCGTTTCTTGAGAAGAAAACCAGCCAAGCCGAGGCTGGTGAGATAGACAGCTCAGTAGGTAAAGAGCCTCACATAAGCCAGACACCCTGAGTTTGGTTCCCCTGAAGCCTGGAAAGGTGGAAGGAGAGAGCCTAGGAGGCCACAGACTTGTCTCTGACCTTCACACTTAGTGTGCACAAGTCCTCTTTTATACACATACATAAAACAGTACATTAAATATTTTTAAATTAGTTTTTTCATATGCATTGTTTTTGCCTTCATGCATGCCTGTATGAGGTTGTCGGGTCTCTTGGAACTGGAATCACAGACAGTTGTGAGCTGCCGTGTGCGTGCTGGGTATTGAATCCAGGTCCTCTGGAAGAACAATCAGTGCTCTTAACTACTGAGCCATTTCTCTAGCTCCAATGATAAATTTTTAAGAAGTTTGGGGTTCAGAGGGGAGAGGCACTTGCCACCAAACATAATGACCCAAGTTTGATTCTCCCAGATCCTGGGGACAGTTTGAGATGAGGTTTGTGTGTAACATTTTAAACAAGTAACCGGATGATCTGCCCCAGAGGTTTTTAACTGTATTTTGAAAAACCACCTTTTTCTTGGGAATGGGAAGAAATTCTGGCATTCCGAGTTGGTACTGAGAATAGTTTCTGATCCCTTCATCTCTAGATTGCAGGATACCTGTACGGGGTGAGCCCTCCAGATAACCCTCAGGTGAAGGAGATCCGCTGTATTGTGATGGTGCCCCAGTGGGGCACTCACCAGACTGTGCACCTGCCCAGCCAGCTGCCCCAGCATGAGTACCTCAAGGTTTGTGATGGTGGAGCCTGGGAATTGAACTTACTGCCAGGTTACCCTGATGGGTGGCATTTGTCTGCAGATGGGGTGAACAGCTCTGTGTTGCTCTTTGCCTGCAGGAGATGGAACCCTTAGGTTGGATCCACACTCAGCCCAATGAGTCTCCCCAGCTGTCACCCCAAGATGTCACCACTCATGCCAAGATCATGGCGGACAACCCATCTTGGGATGGCGAGAAGACAATTATCATCACCTGCAGGTGGGTGTGGGCCTCCTTGAGTGGAAATACTAGAGGGCAGGTATTGCAGGTCAGGACCTGGACTGGTGGCCTGAGCTCTCAGCCTGTCTTTCCCCTCCCCGCAGCTTCACCCCAGGCTCCTGCACACTGACAGCCTACAAGCTGACCCCCAGTGGCTATGAGTGGGGCCGACAGAACACGGACAAAGGCAACAACCCCAAAGGCTACCTGCCCTCGCACTACGAGAGGGTCCAGATGCTCCTGTCAGACCGATTCCTCGGCTTCTTTATGGTTCCTGCCCAGTCCTCCTGGAACTACAACTTTATGGGTACGTGGTTGTGTGGCAGACAGCACGAGAGGTGTGAGCAGGGAAGGGGGAGGCTCTTGGGGTCAGCCTGCCCAGGCCAGGCTGGTGAGGCAGGCAGACCCTTGTTAACATCTGCTGTTCCCTCTAAGGTGTTCGCCATGACCCCAACATGAAATACGAGCTGCAGCTGGCAAACCCCAAGGAATTCTACCACGAGGTCCACAGGCCCTCCCACTTCCTCAACTTTGCCCTCCTGCAGGAGGGGGAGGTCTACTCTGCAGACAGAGAGGACCTCTACGCCTAGTCCTGTCCTTGCTTCCTTCTGCTTCAGAGTCCCAAAGGCTGGAGCCTCTCGTACCCTCCCCAGACAAGCTGCTGACATTCAGCAGCCTGGCCCCTTTGTTTTGTGCTGGTGTTGTTGATAGACTGTAATCCTGAACAAAATGTAATAAATTTTGTATAAATAGGAGTGCTTTTGTTTTCTTGCTCTTATGAGTTCAAATTCTGGGTGTAGATAACCTTGGGGATTGGGGACTGGCTTGGGCAATTCACAGTGAGGTACTGGGCCTCGCCTTAAGGGCTTTGAGGCTCTAGACTCAGAGAGACACTCTACTATGACCATATTTGCTGTTTCTCTGGACCTGGAAACCACCTGTTTTCCACATCACTTTTGGACTCTGGTCCTGTAGTTGAGGTGCCCACTCCATCTGTAAACTTGGTCGTTCCTGGCGGCTGTCCCTGCAGTCCAGTGGAGGCTGTTTGCTGACCTTCAGTCTTTCACCTCTCTGGAGTGCTTGGCAGCTAAGTCCAGGGGTGGAGCCTGGTCAGGCGCTATGGGGAGGGCTTGCCTAAAGTGACCACTTACAGCCCTGGTCCTCAGCTCTTGGATACCTGCCTGGAAGCTGGCTGTCGTCCTGTATCCAGTGACCTTGTAGGTGGACCAGAACAGGGCACAAGGGGCCCAGGGCACTCTCCCACCCCAAGGCCCTTTTCTCCATTTGCTCCTCCCTTGTCACTTCTACTCCGCCCCTTAGGGCCCTAAACTTCCTGGGCCGGAACTGTTTGGCTTTTCCTGCCCCAGTTGAGGGTAGGGGCGGCTTTTGGCCTTAGGAGAGGAAACATGGAGTCCAGGAGAGCAGCGCCCGGGCCACCCAGCCAGGGCTCAGCTGTGGGCGCGGGGTCAGCCGCTGAGCTCGTGTACCATCTAGCGGGGGCCCTGGGCACTGAGCTGCAGGAGCTGGCACGCCGGTTCGGGCCCGACGCAGCGGCTGGGCTGGTGCCACTAGTGGTGCGGGCGCTGGAGCTCTTGGAAAAGGCCGCCGTGGGGCCGGCGCCGGACTCGGTGAGTCACCGGCCCCTCCTCTTACCCCTGGCAGCCAGCAGGCCCTAACCCCGAGTCCCCCGGTCCCCCCAGCTGCAGGTGTCCGCGCAGCAGGCTGAACTGGAGCTGCGGCGGCTGCGCGAGGAGAACCAGCGTCTCCGCCGGGAGCTGGGCTCAGGGCCGCAGGGTGAGTGCGGGTCCCGCCGGAGCACAGTGAGCTAGGGGCACCCGGGGCCTTCGCACCCCGAGACCCGTGCTAAGAACACCCCTTCCTTAGAGGAGCGCGCGCTGCTGCGACAGCTCAAGGAAGTGACGGACCGACAGAGGGACGAGCTTCGGGCACACAGCCGAGATCTAATGCGCCGGAGCCAAGAGACCGAGGCGGTGAGGGCCGACCGGAGGCGGGCACGGAGGGGGCGGAGCCGTGGCGCGCTTCGGAGCCCCGCCCACTAGCTCTCTCGCTCCACCCCCAGCTGCAGGAGCAGCTGCAGCGCCTCCTGCTGGTCAACTCGGAGCTGCGGCACAAGCTGGCCGCAGTGCAGACCCAACTCAGGGCAGCGCAGGACCGGGAGAGGGAACGCCAAATAGCTCAGGATGGCTCCAGCCAGCTGGCGGAAGAACAGAGGCTGAAGCCTGAAGCGGCAACCCCAGATGACCGGGTGAGAGCCGGAGCGGAGTCAGCATACATCCCAGAGCTCACAGCATCCAGCGCTTGGGCCAGGCCTGGGTGTGCCGTGCAGTATAGAGAAGGTCTGCAGGAAGTCGGAAGGCAGCAACAGAGTTTTTGTTGCAGCAGTAGTTCACCACCTACTGCAGCAGCAACCTTGTTCCTTAAGGTTTCCTACTAGACACTTCGGCTAACATTACTGTGAGCGCTGGGATTTAGGGGAGGGCTAAGAGAGGCTGCCCTCTGACCATGCCTGACCTTGCACAGGTGGATACCCAGCAGCGGCCAGAGCACCCTCCAGAGGCCGTTCAATGTGGCTTCAGCCGGGAGGAGCTTCAGCAGATCCTTCAGGAGCGGAATGAGCTCAAAGCCAACGTATTCTTGCTCAAGGAGGAATTGGCCTACTTCCAGCGGTGAGGGGCCAGAAGTTAGGAACCCTGTTCCTGAGCCACAGGTCACCCCACCTCATTTTTTTTTTTTTTTTTGAATCATTTATAGAGTCAGTAGTGATATTTGCCAGTGTCCTGCTCAGGCACTGGAAAGAAATAAATTCCATAGTCCCTGCCCTTCTGGAACCTAATTCAAACAGGGCAGCACCAAGGGCCAGCAAGCCGGAGCAGCAGGCCAGAAGTATTCTGAGGAGGGGCCATCTAAGCTCAGTTCAGAGGTGTTAGCAGGTGTTTCCCGGGGAAACAGAGCAGAGCTCAGGTACTCAACTGAAACCTACTGTTGGCATTCCCACTTTCTTCCCCCTTCCACACCCTTCTTTAGAGAGCTGCTCACGGATCACCGGGTCCCTGGGCTTCTCCTTGAAGCCATGAAGGTGGCAGTCAAGAGACAGCGGAAGAAGATCAAGGCCAAGATGTTAGGGACACCAGAGGAAGCAGAGAGCAGGTAAGATCCTGTCTCCATACCCACTGCAGGAACCCTTTGCCTGCTGCAGTTCTACTGTGCCCAGTGACCCAGCCTAGCCATGCCCTGCACCTCATTGACCCTGCTGTCCCCCGTCCATCCTTCCCCCCCCCTCCAATCCTTCCCTCCCCCGTCCATCCTTCCCTCCCCCGTCCATCCTTTCCTCCCCTGTCCATCCTTCCCTCTGGAACCCGCGGCTCCCATTTGCCCTGGCTGCTGTCCGGCCTGCTGAAGAAACTGTTAATGCCACTTCTCCACGTTCATTTCTGTTCCCTTCCTTGGCTGGGTCTCTTTATTAAAGGAAGCTGTGGCTTTCCTGGTGCCCAGGCTAGAAAGTGAAAGCCTCAAGATGTCCTGTGTCTCCTCCGTGTCCCCTCTCCCGCCCTGAGGCCTCTGTAGCCACTCCATTTCCCCCTGACGCTCCTAAAAGTCCTTCAGGAGGCTCCACATGAGCTGGACTCACAGTGTCTGTCCCTTAAGCCCTTTTGTCTTTATCTTAGTGATGATGAGGATGACTCGTGGCTTCTGCTCTCCAATGACAAGGATGATGCTCCTCTAGTTCCTGGATCCAGAATACAGAATTTGTATGTTGGGGGAGGGGAGGGCAGGAGGAGGTGGAGGAGGGGCCTGCCTGGTTCTTCTCCACCCATCTGTTCTGCCCCTCTGCCTTCACATTGCTCTCCCGGATCTGTCTTCCCTCTGCCCCTTTGCCCTAAGTACCTTCAGATCCCTGTGACCATGTGCCATCCTCTTCCCCCCGAAGCCCCTTCCCTTCCCCGTCCATCTCTGCCTTCAGCCTATACCCATGACAGACATTTCTGCCTTCAGCCTGCACCCTGACACCTCTCCTGGTTTTCCTTCCAGCTTTGGCTTATGGTATCGGGGTGAAACTGAGGCCCCTGAAACTGAGACCAGCAACACAGCTCCCAGCAGGCTACAGGAAGGAGAAGAGACCCCACAGCAACCCCACATGGAACCCGTGGGCAGCCTTCCAGCCCCCAACTCCTGACTAGTCCTTCTCTGCTTCCGATGAACATCTTGCTCCGAGGACTTCGGCTATTAAGAGGCTTAACTTTGAGTTCCAGTTGTGTCCAGATGTGTGACCTCAAACAAGGACGAGGCTCCCCTCTATACCTAGCCTGCACTAGGCATGATGGGATTGCAGCCTCTCTCCCTTTCTTGATATCTTTGTCCCACACTTCAGAGCCAGAGGTAACAGTGTCTCTGAGCTCCACTTTGCCCATTGAGAGACAGAGGGCTGCCTGCCTCCCTCCCTGAGGCTTATGCAGGTGATCAGTGCAATAAAGCTTTTACCCATAATACCCCTAAAAATGCTCCCTGTCTGTCTGTCGGTGGTCTGTTACCTCCCAGCCCAGCCAGGAACAGGGGCATGGTGATGTTTCATGAAAGGTCTCCGTGGAGCCTCTTTGAGGATGAGGAACGTCTCTTTATTTCGGGAGTATGGCTCCCACCCTCACCCCAGCACTCTGCCTGTCTCCAATACTTAGGGAACCCGCGGCCTCGATCTTTTGGCCTCCTCTAGGCTAAGGCCACTCAGGCTCCACCATCAGCTTTCATTCTGAGTGTTCAGCTGCCGGCCTTCTCAGGGAGGTACCTCATAGCAGCCCGCCCCTATGCTGGCTTCCTCAGGAAAAGCCTTGGGAGGAAGCCGGGAGGGGGTTGGGCGCTGTGGGGACCAGATCAAACCGGACCCTCCTACTGCACTGGTCGCCATGGGACTAGGGTTGGTAGTCCCACTGCTGCTGCTCTGGACTCAGGGGACACAGGGATCCACACTAGACCCAGCCGGTCAGCACGTCTGTAGAGGCGACAGGTGGGTCTTGTGGGAGTCTGACCGGTAGAGATGGTGGCTGACTAGGGTTGAGTCATCTCGGAAAATAAAGAGGCGAGTGAGAGGTCATGGGCCTGAAGGAAGGGGCTCCGAGGGGCAGCCTGGCAGGCAATAACTGGCCAGGGCAGACGGTGGGGAGGTCAGGGAAGGAGAAAAGAGGGGGTTGGGAACATGGATACTATGACTATGGTCTGTGACATCAGGGCTAGATATCCTAAGTGGGGCTGGAGAAGACCCCCACACCGCAGCCAGCATTTGTGACCCACGCTATGGGGACCCTGATGTCCCCTTTCTGCCCTGCAGCCCCTCCGAGCTCCAGTGCTGTCCAGGCTGGAGGCAGAAAGATCGGGAATGCACCATCCGTGAGTAGCCAGGACAGTCCCCTAGCCAAAGAAAGGAAGGATATGACCCAGTAAACCCTTCTTCCTACACTAGCTCCCCTCCTGAGCCCTGGACGCGGTGTCCACCCTGTGACACATGCCCCTCTCCCGCACGAAGAGGAGGGCTTTGAAGGGAGCAGAGCCCCAGGAGTGGGGGGGAGAGGAGGGCTGCCCCTTGTTTGTGCCCCAGTCCTTTCCAGCCTGGGTGGGGTGTTTTTCAGCCATCTGTGAGGGGCCCGATGCCTGCAGGAAAGACGAGGTGTGCGTGAAGCCAGGTCTCTGCCGATGTAAACCTGGATTCTTCGGAGCCCAATGCAGCTCCCGTGAGTTTCGAGGGCCGGGTGAAGTTGTTAGGCAGAAGCGAGTGAGGGCCAGGAAGTGGGCAACGCAAACAGAGATGTAAACGTAGAGGTGTAAGGTCAAAATCCCCCAAAGGTCGCGGAGGAAACAGGTTCAGAAATGGGCAGGCGTCAGAGGAGATGCCCTGGGTGGCCTGGTTTTACCCACCGCCGTAAGACCCCGTTTATCGGTACCCTTTGCTTCTAACTTCTCAGTAAGAAGAAATACAGAGGTGGTGGGGGGTCATAGGTCTACGATCCCTGCTGACTACACCCCATACTTGAGTGGAGGGTAGCCGGAGCCGGGACTAGGCTCCCGAGAAGGGGTGAGTAGTAGGTACCACGAATCCCTGGGTTGAAAGGGGACACATGGACTTTCCTGCCATCCTGGTGGGCATCTTCTACCTGAAATCCAGGTGTCAGTGACGACCAAGGGTAGGGGGACACCTCGGCAGGGAGGGGGAAGGGACATGAATGAAATCCCATCCACCTGTGAGTCTGGACACATCCCTGTCAAACTCAAGATCTGTGTTCTGGAATGTGAAATAGACGTTAAAAGCCAAGGCTGAGTTTTATCATCTGAATCTGGGGCCGGAAATGAGCTGAGTCCCAGGAGAAGAGACTGCCAGGTGTTCCCAGGGTCTGTCCTTGGCTCTTGAAGAGCAGGCCCTTGTCCTTTTCCTTGAGGAAGGGGAAGGGCGAGGACCTGTGCCCAGGCTTAAACCCACTTATCTCCCATTGCTAACCTCACAGGCTGCCCAGGCCAGTACTGGGGCCCTGACTGCCGGGAGACCTGCCCTTGCCATCCCAATGGCCAGTGTGAGCCGTACACTGGTGTGTGCCAATGCAAGCCTAACTACTGGGGTGGTCGCTGTGAATTCCCCTGCAACTGCGGCCCCCACGGACGGTGCGACCCAAAGACAGGCGCGTGCCACTGCGATGCCGGCTGGTGGTCGTCCGCATGTAACCGTCCTTGCCAATGCAACCCAGTAGCGCGCTGTAACCAGGACAACGGAGCCTGCCTGTGCCCGCCTGGCTGGTGGGGCCGCCGCTGCAGCTTCAAGTGCAGATGTCACAACTCGCCCTGTAATCAGGACTCTGGCTACTGCAGCTGCCTGCAGGGCTGGTGGGGTCCTGAGTGTAACCAGAGGTGCCAGTGTGTGCGAGGCCAGTGCAGCGTTACTTCCGGCCACTGCTCCTGCCCTCCTGGCTTCCACGGAGCCCGCTGTGAGCTGCCCTGCAGCCCTGGCCGCTACGGAGAACAGTGCAGAGAAAGGTGAGGGGGGCAGGGAGCTGCAGGCAGGGGGGGGCAAGAAAGAAGACAGGTGTGTGGAGGGGAGTCTCTCAGGCGATCTCCAAAATGCATATAAGGCAGGAGTGAAAGAAAAAAAAAAAAAACCCAATGTATCTACGTCTACCCATGCCTACTTCTCTCAGCCCCATTAATGTTAAAAAGTAGAAGCCAGGTGGTGGTGGCGCACACCTTTAATCCCAGCACTCAGGAGGCAGAGGCAGGAGGATCTCTGTGAGTTGGTGGCCAGCCTGATCTACAGAGCAAGTTCTAGGACAGCCAGGGCTACACAGAGAAACCCTGCCTCAAAAACAAAACAACAACAACAAAGTGAAAACCACTGGGCTGGAGAGACGGCTCTTGCAGAGGACCTGAGTGTTGGTCTCAGCACCTACCTCTGTTGCCCTCCACTGGCCGATAACTGCACTCATGTGCACATACCTCCACATAGATACTCAAGCATACAGAGCAGTGGTTCTCAACCTCGCTGATACTGCGATCCTTTAATGCAGTTCCTCATGTTGGAGTGACCCCCCCACACCATAAAATTGTTTTCATTGCTACTTCATAACTGTAATTTTTCTACTGTTACGAATTGTAATGTAAATATCTGATAGGCAGGATATCTGCTATGTGACCCCTGTGAAAGGGTTGTTGAACCCCTAAGGGGGTCATGATCACAGGTTGAGACTTTCTGTTACAGTATATATATATATATATATATATATATATATATATATATATATATATATATATTGTATATTGTACTTTATATTTCATATTTATATATTGCTGAGCATAGTAGTGCATATCTTTAATCCCAGCTCTGGTGAGCAGAGACAGGCAGATCTCTGAGTTTGAGGCTAGCCTGGTTCACATAGTTCCAGACCAGCCAGAACTACATAGTAAGAGCCTGTCTCTGTAGCCATAAGTTTCTCTGGTCCCACCCCACCCCATCCCACAGACGCTTATAAAATAATCACTCAGAGGCTTAATATTAATTGCAAATTATGTAGCCTATGGCTCAGGCTTCTTACTAGCTAGCTCTTACAACTTAACTCAACCGATAACTGTTAATCTGTGTATCACCACGTGTTCCTGGCTTTACCTGCGTCCCAGTACAGGTTGCTCCTTGGACTGCGGCTGGCGTCTGCCCTTCCTCCCCTTTCTCCTCTCACTAGCTCTCTTGGATTTTCCCTCCTGGCTCCATCCTGCCCTGCCATAGGCCAATGCAGCTTTATGTATTAGCCAATGGGAGTAACACATATTCACAGCATACAGAAAGACATTCCACAGCATGTCTCAAAAATAAAATCTATCTATATCTATATTTATCTATCTCTATAATCCCTACAGTCAGGAGAGTGAGGTGAGAGGATTCCCTGTGAGGCTGCAAGTTCCTAGCCTTGTTTACATAGCAAGTTCAAGCCAGCCAGCATGACATAAGTGAGACTCTCCAAAAAGAAAAACAAACAAAAATTACTGCCCAGCCTGTTATGTTGGGGTAGGCCTATAATCCCAGCACTTGGAAGGCAGAAGCATAGGGGTCTCATATTTGACATCAGCCTGGGCTGCACACTGAAGCAGCAAGACTAGGTAGGATCAGTAGTAACAGTCTAGAGGCAGGAGGATCCATTTAATACCATCTTTAACAACATAGCAAGTCTGAGGCTAGCCTGGGCTACATGAAGACCCTGTCTCAATGATTCCCCTCCCCACAAAGTAGCAACAAACTACATATATTTTTTAATTAATTAATTTATTTATGTATTTATTTTTCTGCTATCAGCTTGATACAGTATAATTTCTAATCCTAATAGTGATAGTGAAATGTTTCATTGAGGCTTGCCCAGTAATTGAGTAAAACCCAAACTTATTATAAGCCACAGTCATCCTAGGGTCCCCCCTGCTATGTAGCTTCCCCGGTTCTGTTGGTTGCAGTCTGATTGTTCTTTGCTTTATATCTAGTATCCACTTATGAGTGAGTACATACCATGTTTGTCCTTCTGGGTTTGTGTTACCTCACTCAGGATGATATTTTCTAATTCCATCCATTTGCCTGCAAATTTCATGCTGTCATTGTTTTTCTCTGCTGAGTAGTACTCCATTGTGTATATGTACCACATTTTCTTAATCCATTCTTCAGTTGACGGGCATCTAGGTTGTTTCCAGATTCTGGCTATTACAAATAGTGCTGCTGTGAACATAGTTGAGCTTGTATCTTTGTGGTATGATTGAGCATTCCTTGGGTATATGCCCAAGAGTGGGATGGCTGGGTCTTGAGGTAGTTCGATTCCCAATTTTCTGAGAAATCACCATACTGATTTCCACAGTGGTTGTACAAGTTTGCATTCCCACCAACAGTGGAGGAGTGTTCCCTTTGCTCCACATCCTCTCCAACATTGACTGTCATTAGTGTTTTTGATCTTAGCCATTCTGACAGGTGTAAGGTGGTGTATCAGAGTCGTTTT